CCCAAACCCAAACCCAAACCCAAACCCAAACCCAAACCCAAACCCAAACCCAAACCCAAACCCAAACCCAAACCCAAACCCAAACCCAAACCCAAACCCAAACCCAAACCCAAACCCAAACCCAAACCCAAACCCAAACCCAAACCCAAACCCAAACCCAAACCCAAACCCAAACCCAAACCCAAACCCAAACCCAAACCCAAACCCAAACCCAAACCCAAACCCAAACCCAAACCCAAACCCAAACCCAAACCCAAACCCAAACCCAAACCCAAACCCAAACCCAAACCCAAACCCAAACCCAAACCCAAACCCAAACCCAAACCCAAACCCAAACCCAAACCCAAACCCAAACCCAAACCCAAACCCAAACCCAAACCCAAACCCAAACCCAAACCCAAACCCAAACCCAAACCCAATTCTAAAAATAGAATTCTTCTAAACCCAACGTTCAAACCCTAGCCCAAATATATAAACTTATTCAAATATCATTAAATTTTATATCATTCGATTGTAAATGATGAGTAGAACAATGTGGTATATTTAGTTTTTCAATTTATAAAATATCAACCTTGTAAATAATGTCAGATTAAAAATTGTAAAATGAAACCATAGGAAGGATGATAGTTTCAAAATCCTTTAATGAGATTATATAGTCTATATCATCATTAACAACATTCATAATCACTTTCATATAAAATTTCAAAAGTTCATGTCTGTAGGTATAAAAGTATCAAGTGAAAAGGGAAGTTGTGAGGTACAATAGGTCAACAATAACTTTTGAGTTTCTCATGAAAACATATTGAATCCTGACATGAAAATGTTCCATTTGATGAGTAAACATCGAATATCAAATTTATTTTAACTTTCATATTTAAAGATTTCTTCCCTCAACCATCATAGGGTCAACTTGTATGAACTTGTATGAATATGTGGAAATCTGGAAAAAGGACCACCTATTGAAACTTTACCATCATAATGTAGATGATCTATAATGATATAGAATTTAATTTCATGTCCTAGTAATCAGAAATGGTACCATGGGAATGTAAATGTTGACT